CAATTGTCTGGGTGAATCATGATGATTCAACCTGAATTGAGAAATGGACCCTCCAAAACTAGGGACCTTCACAGGTGATGAAATCGGCCACGAAACAAATTTGCTGAGAAGTTGGTCGCACTTGAATAGAACTGTCGTGTCATTTTGGGTTCGTCCAGCTGGGGAATCCAACATGGGTCATGTCCCTTAGGTATCTGATTGATTGCGACATATATACAGTGAGATCAAGGTCACCTTCTTGGCAGTACGAGCATGTCACATGAACAGGGAAGCAACCTCGGATTCCAAGCTTGATAACCCCCATAACTTTGTTCACCATTCTGACACCCCCCAAAACCCCACAAACCTCCAAAACCCCCATCACGCCCCCCAAAAATCCGCCGACCCCTTCTCCTCAAAGGGGGAGGCGCACGGGAAGGGTGGTTGCAGTACAAGCGCATGGATTAATCTTTGAGGCAAGCATATGACTACTGGCATCATACGGATGCCCATCATCATCATCATCATCATCGATATGATCCTTCATCATTCTTATCGTCAACATCATCATCATCATTTCTATATCCTTCAACATCATCATCCTCGTCATCATCCTTATTTTTTGATATACGTTTCAATTGTGGCGTCAGAGAGGGTTTGACATGCAAAAGCTGCGTGGACATGATGATCATGATGACTGCCCCCCCGGCCCCTGAAGATTGGGGCTTAACGCCCCGCTCTGGCCCATTGTAGCTGCCACACAGGGGACTCATTTAGGCTTGGGCGCAGGGGGCGCTATCTCAAAAAATGAGCCGATACTGGGCCCGTGGGGTAAGTCTCGGGCCGTCCTGGTGATGCCGAGGATGCTACGTTAGACACCATTGGCAATGCAGAGGATGCTACAACGATAGTTATGATCACAGTCCTCATCCTTATCATCACTAGCATCAGGTCATGGCACTGGTGATGCCGGGGTGATGCCGAGGATGCTACGATGATAGTTATCATCACAGTCCTCATCCTTGTCATCAGTCTCATCACGGTCATCACCATCTCTTATTAGGCAGCACTGGTGATGCAAAGGGTGTTACGATGATAGTTATCATCATAATCATCATCATGATCATCCTTATTATGATGTCATCGCTCTTCTCATCATCATCATGATGATCATCATCATCTCATTCTTGTTCTTATTTTTATATGCATTTCAAAAGTAACGTTAGACCCCATTGACAATGCAGAGGATGCTACGACGATACTTATCATCACAGTCCTCATCATGGTTATTATCATTATTCTTATATGCATTTCAAAAGTAACGTTAGACCCCATTGGCAATGCAGAGGATGCTACGATGATAGTTATCATCACAGTCCTCATCCTTATCATCACTATCATCATGGTCATCATCATCTCTTGTAAACCGGCACTGATGATGCCGAGGATGCTACGATGATGATATCATCACAGCCCTCATCTTTGTCATCGTAATCATCATGGTCATCATCGTCTCTTAGTAGCCGGCACTGGTGATGCCGAGGATGCTACGATGATAGTTACAGTCCTCATCCTTGTCATCATTATCATCACGGTCATCATCATCTCTTATTAGGCAGCACTGGTGATGCAAAGGGTGTTACGATGAGAGTTATCATCATAATCATCATCATGATCATCCTTATTATGATGTCATCGCTCTTCTCATCATCATCATGATTCTCATCATCATCTCATTCTTGTTCAAGGGCTGCCGCCAGTGCCGCCGACCCCTGGATTTAGTTGTGGTTTTCGAGCAACCAAAAACAGTGCCCTTGGTTTTGGTTTTGGTTTCTTTGGTTTCTTGCGTATCATCTTCATGATGATTGTCATCATAGTCATCGCCTTCATCATCGTCATCCTGAGTTTCTTCTATCTTTCTTCTCTATACATTTGAAATGTGGCGTTAGGTATCCTTGGTAATGCAGAGGATACTACGATGATAGTTCCGCAGCTTTGGTAACGCAAAGGACGCTACGATGATAGTTATCATAAGAGTCATCATCCTTATCATCTTCATGATGATTGTCATCATAGTCATCGCCTTCATCATCGTCATCATGCTTGTCATCATCATCATCTCTTCCTTCTATTCTTCTATCTTTCTTTTATATACATATCAAATGTGGCGTTAGGCATCCTTGGTAATGCAGAGGATACTACGATTATAGTTATCATAGCAGTCATCCGCAGCTTTGGTAATGCAGAGGATGCTACGATAATAGTTATCATAAGAGTCATTGTTGCCCAGCAAGTCACAGTCCCTATTCGTGTCTTCAAAAATACAAACAAAACCCTGAAATACAAGATTAGCCTTTTAAGGCCACTAACATTTCACCCAAAAGAAACCAAAGAAACCAAAACCAAGGGCACTGTTTTTTATGGCTCCAAAACCACAACTAAATCCAGGGGTCGGCGGCACTGGGCGGCAGCCCTTAGATATTGTCTGCCAGAATGCTCTTCCCAAAAGGCAAGTCCAGGAACTTGTGAAGAACTAAGAGTACAGTTGGGAAATCGTAAGCCGAAAAGGGAGCTTCTCAAAATTGGGAATGCCTCAAGGTATTTGACTTCCTCTTGATTCACTTTGACAGTCCCTTAAGGTTGCATTTTGAGGGGGTCTCCAAATTGATGATGTTTGGACGTGACTTCCCTTACCAGGCTTACCAGTGTGGTTTTCAGGATCTGAAAGGGGAAACCGTCAAACAAGGGAAACCTGGGGACCCCATGTTACGCCAAGAAAAAGAGACGCCGTGACCCGTGACCCGAGATGCCGCGCCGTGACCCTGAGCACCAGGTCGTTCGGCACCAGCCACTCGGCGGACCAGGGCTCCCGGTAAGGCACGTGCACCTCTGGTCTCGGCAGTGAAGCCCGGGTTTGGGGCGCAAGCCAAAAAGGGCAAGCCAAAAGCTAAACCATGCTCTGTAAGTGATTTGAGGGCCATTGCATCTTTTGGGGTTGAAGGAAAACCTGAAGGAACACCATTTGGGGGTTGGTTGGTTCAATCACAAGCCAAAAACAGCGCATTGTTCGGGTTCTATATGTTAAGACAGGGTCGCCTGGGAGCGGTCGGCTCTCAAGGGTGAGGTGAAGTATCCAGAGGGCATTTGTTGGAAGTGCTCGATGGCCTCAGAAGCACCAGGTGGCACAGTATGATTTTGGCTGACAATCAAGCAAGACATTGCATTGGTGTCTTCAGTTTTTGGCAGTGTTGCAAGGTAAACCAGAAGGCCTGCCCCCAGTTGGTCTCCAATTTGTAGAAACCGTAAAACAAGAAACGTACCAGCAAAAGCTCTGCTGGACAACTGAGTAGCAGCTGCTTCCATCTGTAACTGCGCTTCGGGCGGCACCATATTTTCTAAAACCACGAAGCCATTCTTGTTCAACACCGCCAGCACCTTCTCCACCATCTCTGCCTTCCGCGCGCCGTCGGCATCATTCCAGGCCGCGCAGTCCACGGCGTATCTTCCAGCCAAAGGGTTGGAAGACGGGCCGTACATGTAGATCCTGGGCGGGGCGATGGTATCGTCTACGCCGCCGTTCTGATTGGCAAAGGGCTGGACATTCCCCACTCCCGCGGGGTAGTCAGGATGCCCTGGCGGTGGCATGGGAATGGAGTCCCCATAGAAGCTGCGAGCCGCTACCCGCGACGGTATGGCAAAATTCCGCCGCTGCGAGACAGCAGCAAACGCCAGCAGCCAACCTAGCGGAACCAGTCGACATCGCCATCGCGCCATGCCAGAAGGCTGGGACACCGTTGTTGCCTCTGCCGCATTTTTGTTGTTGGGCCTCTGTGCCATAGAAACGCGTGGTAAGAGCGGACTTCTTAATTGGTAAGAAAGTCCGAGAAATGAGGGGGGCTTATTGCGAGATTTCCTCCGAGAAATCGAGTTGCATCAGCTGTGAGCTGTTGCTCTTTCCAGGTGAACCAAACAACCTCGGCCATGCCCCGATCAAAGGAACCCAGCAATTCGAAGAGCCAATCTGCTTGCTACCTGGAATCACTGGCCAACAACAGCGGCATCTGCGCTTGCAGAATCAGGCGGCCAGAATCTGCGATTTGATGCGCTTCATCTCATCTTTGGAGTGCTGGAGCCTTGTGCCTTCTTCCCGAGCCGCCATAAACAGAAGCTTGAGAAAGACCGCCGCGGTCGGAAAGCGGCACACCCACCCATTGCATACGCACAAATGTGTGTATATATATATATACAAACAGGTCCGGCGGATGGTTTGGGCATAACATGGCACAGTTGCTAGTGATTTCTCCATTGGGGCTCAAGTACTCAAACGTTGTGCTTCCGGCCTTTGCACATGACAATCCAAGGCACTAAAGACAAATAAGGGAAAGCCACATGTCGTGGATTCCCTCAACACATGCCGCCTGCAACATGAGGACATCCAGGACGTGGCGTATTGTCAATCTTCGCCATTGTTTGGGGGGTTGCGGTCCCCATATGGATGTTAACAATTCTTAACACTTGAACAAGTTGACGGAAGTACAAATTATCCCCCCGTCAAGTGATACCTGAAAAATGGATTGTTTGTATTCTTCAATGGGCCAGCTTAGAAGCCTCGTTTCTGCTTTTCGAGATGAGATATCTCGTCTAATAGATATATTGGAAAGTCATTTCTGTGGGGAAGCGAACAAAAGGGTCGCTGGGAAAGCAGGCAAGAATTTCAAGCCCACCCGCTCGCCAGCTGAACATTGAACATGCTTTTGTCCGGCTCTGTTTGCAGTTCCTCTCACAACTCCATTCTGGAGTACAGCCGACAAGAAAACCACTTACACAAGATTTTGAAGTGCCTTCACACAGTCCAAAGCAAGTCGGACCCCTGTTCCGTACTTTCTCAAACGCAACAGACACTAAGCTCACCATGGGGAGGATCCAAGTAATGACACATGCCCACAGATTTTGTATAGAAAGGTCGTACTTGGACTGGACATCCTCTGTGTCCTGTAGCCACCCTTGCCCACCCCGTGCTCCCCATAGAGGAGCTCGGTGAGGGAATAAACTTCTCACCTGGCAAACCCGTCCGTCTGACCCACCCCGATTCATCGGATTGCCCGCAGCTTCAACCGAAAATTGACGGGGAGCATAAATTCTAACGCAATGCTTGAATCAGTGTTGCAAAAAAAACAAGTCAAGTAGTTAATCGCCGCACAAAACCAAAACCAAACGCAAAAGAAAACGTGCACATTGAAAGCAAAAGATCAATTGTATGCAGCAGCACTGGGATCCCAGGTGTCAACCCGTGAAACTAAACAAACACACCGACCGACCAACCAACCGGCCGACCCGTCACCCATCCACCAACAAACTGACAAGCCAAGCAAGCAACCGATTTTCTCTGCTCGCGCAGTTACTACCAAATGAGGTGTGTGCCTTAAAAATGGACACCTTATGGGCAGTTGTAACTGAAACCGAAAAGTTGAGCCAATTTGCGAGGATATCATAGAAACTGCAAAGCGATGCCAACATGATCTCCCTGCGCACATGGGACGTGTCCACTTTGGAGGCCAAAATAGACACATAGTTACCGATGTGAATGCTCCAAACAGGATGGTGTTTCAGTGTGCTTCATTTTGCTTGTGTTGGTCAAAGCATGTTCATCTAATGTCGGTTCAGCTTGTTGCGCTTGTATTTGCTACAAGTACAACCTCACTAAGACGAACCAAGCCCAGGTTGCGGTCACTGTCCCATCCCACCCAAGCACCCCTGTCAAACTGAGCCAAACCTGAAATGGTTCGCAAGGCATTGGTTAATCCTCAGGTAAGACTCTTGTCAAAGGTCAAGGATCTTTGCCACCAATAGGTCCTCATGGATGTTTCTGCATTGTTAAAGGACCGGGATAGCGAGGTATGGCCAAATGATCCCTGCCGCCAGTGCCTGGAAGACGTTCCGCCTGTGGCCATGCGGGAACAGGACATGCTTTATCCACTCATGTTTTGTGGAAAACCTTCTAAAAGGAAATGTTGGAAGGATACAAAATTCATGGTCTTGTCTTTCTATCGTTATCTGTTCCTTTTTCTGGAGATGTTCAATGACCCAACTTTGCAGGGTCATCCATTAATCATTCATTTGATTTATTTGCAAGGCTTGTCCTGATGAAGCGAGAGATATAGAAAGAGAACATATGACAGAGAATTAAATAATATTTATAGATGAATATTTGGTTGTCTTCATTCATTTCATCTGTCTCCTTCGTTAGTCTTGTTGGTTATCTTTTCATTATCATTAATTTCATCCTATTGCAAATGCTTCTATGTTAGGAAAGGAAATCATATTCGCAAACAACACAACCTAAGAGTAATTCCAAATACAAAGACGAGATACACATATGACAAAATATGTCTTTCTTTTTTCTACGTTCTCTTCCATTAGTGAATTAATGGATTTCCAGAAATTCTTACTTTTCATTTAATATTTGGTTTTAGGGAATCCTGATATTTAAAGCAAACACCTAACCACTGGCCCCCGGGGAAAACGGCGTATAAAACCCCATGTATTGTAAATATGTAGCTATCTAGTGGTAGGGCTGGTAGAGTATGAAACAGGGTATATGGCCACATTATCAGGGGGTAACTTATTCCACACATGTTCTTGTGATACTTCGGCTCTATACCCAACCCTATTCGAACTGTATGGGTGTTTTTCCGAGGGTACCCTCAGGCAAGGTACGCGAAACCAAAAGAACAACAACAACGAAGCCAGTTCAACGTCGGCCTGCGCGGCTCGCCGCAGCTCGCGGGCGGCCAGCATCAGGAGCCTCGGGCGCTCCGCGAGTTAAGGGTCGACCTTATGGGAAAGCCATTGACAGGAAGGGGGCGACTTTTTTTGCATATAGCAGTAGCTCAGGTCTCAAACACAAGTTCAAGACCCAAACATGCGCGGCCGTGGGCCATTGGCGGCACCTGTGCTGAGCCAACGAGCTCGTCTAGCGCGATGTCAAAGGCACGCACTTCAACGCCCCCAAGCCTTGCCGTCGCTTTGTTTAGCAGCTGAAATCCACGACCTGAGACCGAAGGCCGGCGATGGCCGAACTTCTCGAGGTGCAGCGTCTCCAGGTCCTATTGCCCCCCCCAGTTTCCGCCAACCAAAGGACCAGACCAGTCCCTCCCCAGTTTCTCGGCTTGAGGGGGCCGGCCCCGGATTTCCACGTGTGGAGAGTGTGTAAGCCAAGGAATCTGCAGGACAGCGAGAGCTGCCAAAAAGGGGTCCGGCATCAAGCAATATGCCCTGGCCAGTTGAACGCACATCTGCCAAAGTGGCGCTTTCCATTTGGCAAAACCTACTCCCAGGAATCCCGAAAGCATGTTGGCTACAAATGCATCAAACAGGGGGAAACCGACCTTGAGTACCTCGATCCACAAAAACACCAAGGATCCGCTCCTGCTCGGTAAGGGACAGTAGCACCGCACCAGTGATGGCGTGTTGATGCACCTCGGCTGCAGAAAGGTCAGCATTTCTCAGGTGTTACTTATATCCAACACTGACTAGTCAAAGTGTATCAAATACAGACCAGCTTTTTAACAAACAGATACACACTTGTTAACACCCCTATTCCAACGAGAAGAAGGGCACGTCTACCATCTACATTTACAGTTCTCGCCCCTCGTGGCCCCAAAGACAAGAAAACGAGCGTACCCGCGGTGGATGGATGTTTGGTCCAAGCGGCTATATCCAAGAGGTCCACCGGTACCGTGGACAGCTTCATGAGCCACTGAGCCACATGCTCCTCACTCAGGGGGCATGTATGGAAAGGAAAAGGAGCGTCTTATTGAGGAAACCTGTTCGTTTGGGATTGAGAATATCAGAACCCACAAAAATCGGTGGGTTCTTTGGGCGTCCTTTTAAAACAGCTTCGAAACGGAAAACACACACAATGTGGATTTTGGAGGAAGTGCTTCCGCTCTCATTTTCCCAAAACTCCTCGGTCCAGCTGCGGATGGGTTTGCCAACCTGCACGCGAGGTGCTGGATATCCGCTGAACCAAACCCAGTTGCCAAGTGACCTGGGTAGCAACGGAGCAAACAAAAGGGGGAAACGGTGCCACTGAACAGGGCGAACAGCTGACACAGCTAGGTTGTGGCGGGGGATCAGTCTGGAAGGCGTTCGCGTGTGTTTTTGTCTGTACTTTTTTTTTTCTCGAGTGGTTTGCAAGGGGTGTCAGAGGGAAACCATCCATTCAATTCCAAATTGAGACTGACTCACCTCACCTGAGGCAAGGGCCAATAATGGTCGATCTTTCAAGAACCAACACCATGACTCACACAGAGTCGTGTAAACTTGTCGAGCTGTGTCTTTCGATGCGACTTCTCCTCGTGTGCAGGGTTCCTGTCACTCAGAGCGGACAATTTGCTATCTGTGTACTTTGGCTCTGCGGGGAAACCTTGTTCGTCGTGACGTGAAGTGTAGCTTTCAGTCTGGCTCTGACATGTTTCAGCTGGCGCCAAGCAAGTGTGCTATGTTTTGCTTGGGAGGCCGCCATAAGCATAAGCTCGATTGGAGGGCTCACGCAGCAGGGGGGAGCCCTTTGAGAGGGACATGAACCCAGCAAAGGTTTCAACGCAGCCAAACTTTCACTTTTGGCAGTTTTTTAGCAGGTGTGCTTCAGCGCAGCATCCTTAACTCCACTAGACTTTACTCCGTCCAGGGGAAGTCTGGCATACCTTCAAGAGGAATCCTGCACACTGGGGGAGGGGGGTGGTATCAATCATTCCACTTAATTTCTCCACCACAAACTAACATGGAACCCCAAAACAAGGCAGGTTCCTCTGTCTAGGAATGAGTCGAGAAAAGATCTTAATTGGGGGACCCTTTTTGTGGTTTCAGGAGAAGATTTATGTACACCAACCACCTGTGAGAGGGTTCCCCAGAGAAAAAAAAGACAACTCTGCCATCGTTGGCTCTTCCCCCAGCAAGAGGTTGATCACAACTCAATGGAAAAGTCTTTTGTTTCCAAACAGCTCCTTTTTGGAGCCTTTGGCCTTTGGCCACGTGCGTTCCGCCCGTGCCACGCGTCTCCGAGTTCCCCGCCTGCAGTGGGTCAGCCTCCGAGAAGGCGTGGGAGGGCGAGCTGGCCGCCGGCGAGCGCGCGCGCGGATGCTGCGTCGGCCGAAACCCCTAGACGCCCAGCCGTGACACCAGCCTGGCTTGTAGATTCACCTGGAAACCGGTTTAACCCCACTGGTTGAGAGGAACTCCTTTTCGGAACCAACTCGTGTTCAGTAGCGAGTCCGGAACATGGACATCACCTGACATCACTAGCCCGCCAAAAAGCTGGGCCCCGCTATTGGCGCCCATTCCTGGTGCCTAACTTGGTAAGCGCTGATGTGGAACCCCAATTGTGATACTGCAAGTCTCATACTGGAAACAATGAATTCAGGCATCGTGGGATATCAATTACTGCACTTCTCACAATGGACAAAATTCAGTCAGGCGTACTTCAGTGATCATGGGATAATGGGTGAGCTTTTCCCAGGTCACCTCGTTTCACCCCAAATCGGACCCACCCGGTCGACTTCCCGATCCGCCTCTCTGAGAGGGGCTCTGGGACCTGAGCTCAGCCCGCACAGCCGACATTCCTGAGCCCTGGCCAGGTAGTGTGTTGGCATGTATGTTGCCCAGGTTGGCCGAACAAATCTCCAAACATAGACACAGAGTCCACAAAGACATCAAACAAATTGACATGCCCACAGGTATGTGTGAAATCGAGAATCACCCGTCAAATTGAGGATATGGACAGTATGCGCATATGGGTGTGAATTGTGGAGGGTAGGTATGCTTGACACTTTCACAGCTCTAGCTGAAGGGACCAACTCTTCAGGAAGCGAATGCTTGTAGTGCAATGTAGCGCAGAACAAGTGCACAGCTATAACGTCCCAATTGTTATTCTTCTCAGTGGGCCCGGGCTGAGGTTGGGTAGACGAGGCATGTAACGACCAACGAGGTATAGCGAGATACTGCACAAAGATGATTCATTCGGGAACCGAAGCGTCTGCTGAACATGCTGCTTGACGCTTCCGTGTCGAGTTGGCATCCTGTTCTCGGGCTCGAGACTTTGGCATTGACTTGTTGGTGGAAACCGGACAAAATGGGCCTCAAGGGCCCAGGTATGCACATGCATACCTATGCACCAGTCTATACATGCACATGTTCAAATCAAGTTTCCAAGTGCGGTTTCTCGTTTAGAGCTGTAACATATTCCCTTTTTTCCACTAACATGCCACCAGGCAAGGCATCCATTGAAGAGGAAATTTATCTTCCATGTACCCTTCCAAAAATATTAGGTTAGTGGGAGGAAGAGTCGTACTTAAAATTGACTGACCCATTCCCACTCAGATCTCCAAAGGATGTGAGCAAGCCAATTGATGCGCAATACTGAACGACAGATTCAACGTCAGGGCATCTCAACAACTTTGCCTCCAAGCGTCATCAAGTGATGTCAACGTGTCAATTCTTCCCAAGACTGGGAAACACGAAGCCCGCGTGTTTCTGGCAGCGCCTCACACAGACTGCTTTACCACCCATGCCCCCAGGGTCACTACCAGCATCCTGCAAACCTGAAACAGCCACAGGGCTAAGTTCTGCCGCCTCCGAGAAAGATCAACTACATTCTCGCCACCACCAGAAATGAATGATCCTGCAAGAAACGTCAAAACGATCCATGTCCATGGCCATGGCAGGGCCATGCGCTGATCGCTAACAGCCACGCCGTAGTTGAACAATTGATGACTCGTAGGGACAAATCAGCGGAATGCAGGTTTGTCCGGTCTCAATGTCAAGCTGGGCGTAGTTTGGCAGAACCGGCATACTATTCAGCGCTTTTCAGCCAAAGACTTGCCAAGCCACCCCCATGCCCCATGCCGGGGACGAAGATCCGCACAAGTGGACGCCTGCATGCTGGGCTGGCACGCACTTTACTTCGGTTCGCCTACCTGGTGAGGTGCGTGCTTGTTGAAAGCAGGAAGGGCGCGCTTGAACAACATGCTGTCTCAAATTTGGCCGCGTACAACCAATTTTCCAGACAGGACAGGGGCGCCTCATTCTTAGGCCCCCTTAGATAAACCGGCTGGCATTCTCTAGCATTCCATTGAAAATGCCACCAACGCACCGTGGATTTCAAATCCAAACAGAGCCTTATCTAGATGCACATGATATGTATGTCCACACGTGTATACATTCCGGTATATTGCGTCCCCCTTTGCGCCAGCCATAATCAACAATGGGAGAAACTTGCGCCTGCGACAAATGCTGGCAAGCTGGACAAGTTTCTTGGGCGGGACAAATGATCATGGCAAGGGAGTAAGGGGCAGTGGCTCTCATATGAGTACTGTATGCCCAACAATATCACCACCAAACAACCAACAGGGAACTGCCCAAAACCGATATCTTGATTTTTGGGAGTCCTTGATGCATTGCATATCTGTTTCCAACAGCTCAAAGAAAACAACAGCAAGCCACACCAAGGGTCTACCATCGGAATTTGGTAGAACAGTGTTTAGACTAGGAACAATATCTAGCTACGTAGGCAAAAACAACACATTTGCAGCATCATCTCACAGAGCTCCCTTGCAGCATGTCAAGCATTGGGACTAGTCTGCCATCTGCTCGCGTTTGCCATCTAGGAACGCACCTTCAGGTACAGAATGACCTTGCTTCCGTACTGCCTTGTGGCAGCCTGCTCTTTGCGGTCATATAAAATTTTACCGTCTCATAGCCACATGGCTAATGGTCCAGCCCTCCAGGCATTGAAACTTAAACTCCTAGTGCAAAGAAAGAAGCGCGCATTGGCATTGGCACTCATCCTGACATTGCCATAAAATAACAATGGCCCAACCAGTATCCAGTCCACTCACTTTCTCAGGTATACCAAAAACTGGGCCTTCTAGATGTTTTTGGACCAATTCTATGTAACAGCCTCATGCCTTGTCCCCCGCCAGCCTGGCAAAGCGGAAGGCTCCTGGCTTCAGGACATAGCTCCAAATTGGCTTGGAGTTTACAGGCCCCGAGACTTCCCCTTTGAACATCACGAAGAGGAAACTCGCGTTCAATGGCCCTGAAGGTGTTCAAACCATCCCGGAGTGGAACTGCGACCCCTGGTTTACACGCTCCCATTGCCAACGGCAAGCGGACATTCACTCAACTCCGAATTGACGCTGGCCCGTATACTTCATCAGTGTTGCAGGCCAGGTCACGAAAATGCCAAAAAACAAGAGCAAGCAAAAGTGCAACATGCATCCCGAGCCACTCGCATCTCGGACGCGGTTGCAATAATTTGGCAGCCGACGCAGGGAACCCCGAAAAGTTGTTTATCTTCATGGCTAATAGTTGGTCGCCGTGTCCAAAAGTGGTGGGTTGCCCAAATTTACATTGACATGAATCAGCCTTGTCCGAACTGATAGAGCCCGTGTTGCTATGCACCGTGTTTCAACATGTAATGAGCCGAAAGACTCCACGCATTGTCCTCCTCTGTCTGCTCGCGACCTGAGCCCGGAAGGCAAGGGGCTGTGCTGTCTGCAAGAGTGAAATGCTCGGATACGATCAATCGAGCAACAAGGAACAAATATTTGGTTGTTTTCCCAGACATGCCTGGCAGTCACGCACCTCCCATTTGGTCCCTCCCTCAAACATGTTGGTACACAATTCATCCTCGGGTCTGCTCCTGAGCTGACTATACATGCTATATAATGCTAAACAATGCTATACAACGCTATACAAAACAATCGAGGTGTAAAAGACGTCAACTACACTAAAGCTGAAGGCGGAACGATACTTGAGTACACCGAGGCAACACGAGGCGAGCAAAAAACAAGGGGCTGCCCGCTGCAACTTACCAGGTGTGGCTGGTGTTGCGGGGGTCACAGCGATGACAGCTTTCCACTTGACAAGCAGCCGGCTGCCCAATCTTAGTGTACAGATTGACGAGAATCGCATTGTATGCATGCATCCAAACTAGGGACCTCCCTCTGATGGATTGTGATTATTGGCTAGTTATGAAACGAAACTTTGCAAAAAAACAACTCGTTAATTCGGTCAACGCTGAAGGGCAAAGTATGTTTTGTCGAGAACTGTGCTCTATTTCTCCGCATCAGAACTACACTAACGCCAACACGTGCTACTTTTATGCATAGCTCATTGACATATTTCATTCCTGAGAATCGTGGATGTTCGCCAAACAACGGTAGACTGCATGTGTAAGCGCGCTCGCGCGTGCGTGCGTGTGCATGTGTGTTCCCTCTCTCTCTCTCTGTGTTCTATGTGTGTGTGTGTGCATGTACTCGTAGCGTTTCCTGCACGATTGCCGTGGTTGGTCTCCTACATGTTTTCGATCCTGCAGAGCACGCACTTTTAGCACAGCCTTTACGCTTCACCTCGAGCTACAGCAGTTAGGGGAAGCCTGTCTCAGTGTCCGAACCAAAAGGCTTTAAGGACATCCTTTGCTTGTTGTTCTGGTCATGGCAACACAAAGTACACACCGCGAAAAAAAACAACAGACAATGGGATTATGACGTGGGAAAACAATCAAACAAAAAATCCATAATCAAAGGAAGTTTAGTAAGAAAACTTCCGTAATACGAAAAGTTGAATCACAACATCCGGACGCACTCAGAAGTGAAGCCAGCCAGCACGGAGAATCGCGAAGGGTACCTCTGTTCTGCGTGCGGGTTCGCCACGGTCTCGCCACGGTCTCGCCACGGTTTCGGAATGTTGCCCACTGTAATGCTCGCGCAAACGTGTTCGGAGGTCAATTTTGCGCGGCAGGCGCAGCACTTTGGCAACCTGAGGTGCAGATTTTGTGGCAGGCGCAGCAGTTTGTGCCCATGCAAGGCCAAGTGCAGAATTCATGGCAGGCGCAGCATTTTCGCAAGGTCGAGTACATATTTCGTGGCAGGCGCAGCACTTTCGCAAAGTCAGGTGATAGATAGATAGATAGATAGACAGATCGATCAGCAAGGTCGAGTACAGATTTCGTGGCAGGCGTAGCACTTTCGCAAGGTCAAGTACAGATTTCGTGGCAGGAGCACTTTCGCAAGGTCAAGTACTGATTTCGTGGCAGGCGCAGCACTTTCGTAAGGTGAAGTATAGATTTCGTGGCAGGCGCAGCACTTTCGCAAGGTCAGTTACAGATTTCTCGGCAGGTGCAGCACTTTCGCAAGGTCAGGTGCAGATAGATAGATAGATAGATTAGATAGATAGATAGATAGATAGATAATGATAGATAGATCAAATGGAAAGACGAAGAGAAAGACAGAGAGATATAGAAAGAAAGAAAGAAAGAAATCAATAAAGACAGAAATGAAGAAATAAAGACAAATAAATAAATCAAGAAAAAAAGAAAGAAATAAATCAGGAAAGAAATGAGAAAGAGAAATAGAAATAAAAAGAAAGAAAGACATAAATAAATAAATAAATAAATAAAGAAAGAAAGAAAGAAATAAAGAAATAATAAATAACGAGAAAGATAAATTAACAGAAATAAAGATATAGAGAAAGAAAAGAACAACTAAGCAAAGCAAGAAATAAAGAAAATAAAGAAAGAAAAAAAAACAAAAAAAAAGAGAAAGATAAATCAAGAGATAGAGAAAGGAAGAAAATAAATAAATAAAGAAATAAAAAAGAATAAATAAAGAGAAACATATATAAAAGTAAATAAACATATAGAAAGAAAGAAAATAAAACAAAAGAAAACAATAAATAAATAAAGACACAAATAATGCAAGAAAGAAAGACAGAAAGGCCACAAACAACAGAAAGAAAAAGAAAGAGACAAAGAAAGAGCGCAACAAAAAAAGAAAAACAAGCCAAGTTCTTCCTACAGGCACTCTTCTCACTTTAGAAACTTCCGTCCACCGGCTTCGCCGGCTCTACTGGTATGCATTTCCTATGTGTTTTCCTTATTTCTATTCTAGGTTCTACCAGTCATTTCCGGAGACTTTAACGTCAAGGCCCACTCCTTCTCGTCTCTAAAGTTGGTCAAAGCGACAGTGGAAGATTCACATCCTCTCAGCCATTTTGCATACTTCCAGTCATGACAGTGTCCTTCCGCAGCAAGAAATTTCATTTGTTATTTTAAGCAACTGAAAGCTAAGGAGCGCGTGCAGTCAGGCGGGTTCCCTCTATTCTGGGCTCCCCTGCTGATAAGCGCCGGCGATCGTGGCATAGGCCTAACCGCTGGCGTCCGGTTCAATGGAGGCGAGACTGAAGCGGAACTTCGCTCAGTAGCGGAACCCCAAGGATGCCTTAACTTTCGAGCTTGGATGGTGCCCTCTCTGGGGTCCTGAGTCCCTCCTTCGCTTCGATGAGGGGAAGGTCTGCGAAGGGAAGCTCTGAGCAAACTTGGGATACGAGTTGACCTGGATAAATCAAAGCATGAAGTTGCGGCTTTTGCCATTCCTTCCAGCCACCCCTTTGCTCAGAACATGGCCTCAGCATGCTCTAAAGCGCACAAACTCCGGCAAGCCCTCCCCATCCCCTGTCCCCCCAAGAAGAACCCGCGCCTGGCACCTGGCCTGCCCGCACCGAAGTGATTCCGCGGCAGCCTGGAGTCAAGTCGGTCACTTGGTCTCGGAAGCTCTTGACGGATCACCGAGGAATAGTGAGGTTTTCAGGATGCGGTTTCAACATGTTGAGCTGTTTCCAGCGAACTGCGCAGCTTTCCATGGCCTTATGCATTGCTCTTGCTCTGGACGCTCTGGCAGGTGTTGCTCCCGCTACGACTTTTCTTGATACTAACTATGTTGACACATCCATCCAGGCACCTCCAACATGTGAACTTTGCAAACCACCTTGCTCACACGGAGACAGATACACACACACACACACTCCATTGTTGGGTCAGCTCCATTTCTTAAGGGGCTGTACTGAAGCGCGCTTGAAAGTCCAGCAAGTCTCTTGCGACTTGAATACATCCTACTTGCTCTTTTGCTGGTTGGCTTGTGGCAAAGGGCCATTTGCTCATTTGCTCCCTGAAAGACAGCCAATCTGTGCGAGAACATCCACATGAGGACCTTGGATGAAACCTTACTTGGGGATAAACCACCAAACCACCTGACTGGTGCGAATGGGACTTTGCCCAACAGACCGTTGGTTCAGTTCACGGCTGTCTCGTTGTAAAGCTTCGCTCATTTGCGTGCCGTTCAAAATGACAGCCCTAGCCATGGCCAACACTCCTGCGAGGGGAGTGGGTTCTGATTCCTGTGATGGGAATTAGCAACATCCCTTTCACCATTTTCACCGAGAAGCATGGACGTGGACACAAAGCTATTTCAAGAGGGCTGAGTCTTCCAACCCCTTCGCCCGGCACGATAAGGCCCCGCACGCATCTGTGGAGGGGCAGCGGTACACAAAGCCCGGCCTGATAAGAAGCCGACAGGATCCACAGCCCCATTCAAAGCCATAGCCAAGTCATGGAATTGTTGAAGGGCCAATTGCCATCCCGGGTCACTCTTTGATTGTCCCCAGGACCGAGGAGTCGTAACATCACAGACACAAAAATAGTATCTGGAACATGGCCAATCACAGATGCTCACGAATCCGTTCTCAAGCTCGCCCCACTTACCCCATATAAGCCCCGTGTAGCATGGTGTCAAACACCGTCCAGCTTGCCAGGCTTGCTCTGATCACATGATATAAACCAACACAAGCCAGAACTCTCAACTCAACTGGGGAACAAATCGGCCCTATATGAGTTATACGCGTGTACAGCATAAATGTATATTGTGCAGTCTGCCTTGACAATCCCAAGCGATTGCGTGCTACGGTCTTAACACGATTAAAGGCCATCATTGGACAGGAAACAAACCCAGTTGTGAACTTTGACTTGACTCTTCAAAGCACCACATTGGTGCTACTGGTACCTTAATCGCGAAACGGTGCATCCTTTACGCCGCATAAGGATTAGTGGAGGATTGCCCAGCTCCACTGGGCAGCTCCCCTCAGCAGCTGATGGGAGTAGAATTGATGCCACTCCCACAGCGAGGGAGGAATCCTCCCACCTCACCGGATGCCCTCCCGGCATCATGGGTGAGGAAGGAAAGTAGCGAAGATCAGCTTGATCAATTCGCTTTCGACTGAGGGGAAGACCCGGTTCTCAGTCGGAAATTGCGGGTCCGGATGAGTAAGTTCATCCGCCCATGTGTTAAAGTCGCGCTTCACATGCGACGGTCCTAACATGACCTGGTGGTCATGCAGTGTTAACACAATTTCCATGAGGATGGCCGCATTGGGCATCCTGCGAGTGGAATCGTTAAGCAGGGAGAAAACGTTTCCCTGGTTATCACTAGCAACCAGAATCCTAGTGTGAGAAGCCGAGCCGGCTGCACAAAGCAGAACAGCCCTCACCAAAAGGAGGAGGCCGAAGAGCTCCAAGGCCGCTATCGCCCGCTGCGGGTCCCCAGTAGTGAAGGCCCACGGCTCGCCCTCCGGTGTGATTCTGTGTTGGAACCACTTCACTCGGGACTTGTCGGGGTTGGGCACGTCCGAGCACCAACCACCAACCCATGCATGGTCCGCCTGTTTGCCAGCTCCCGCATCAGATGCCCCCGTCCATGGAAGTGTGGGAGCAAATGGAGATGCCAGTGGGAACCTCTGGTTGAAGAGCTTCCCCAGAAGGATGGCCAGAGCACGAACCAGCTTCGGTGGCCTGCCCGAAGTGGTGCAGGCCTTCTTCCAGCTCCAAAAGGGCTGGAGGAAAGGTTTCGTCAATGGACACGCCCGAGGGCTTGTTCCACCTCCTTGCTGGTAAAGATGTCCCCCTGGGCCAGCCGTTTGAGAGTGGCCAGGATTATGACGTGCTTGACTGGAGCCAGCAGCACACAGGGCGTGATTGGGTCCACCACGAATCCCAACCAGGTATTGACCGGGGAGAGCGCCGTCTTCTTCCAAGAAAGCGGGACTCCCAGCGCCAGAAGAGTGGCCAGGATGGCTGTGGCGTCCCAGTCCGCCCTGCTGCATCTGAGGACCCAGCAGTAGTCGTCCACAAAGACTAAGTGCCAGTCCACCTGAGGGAAGATGTAGTACAAGAGTCTGAGCACCAAGGATGCCTTTCTTCCCCAGTACAGTTGTGCCGAGGCCATGCCGTACGTGCCCACTCTATTGACCCACCACCGGTTCTGGATGCAGGCCACCTGGTATTTCCAGTCTTTCTGGAGCACTTTTATGCGCCTGTGGGCCTTGGTGACATCCGCCTTGAGGATGATGAAGGTTTCCCCCTGTGTCGGCGGCTGCCACGTCAGGGGTTCCCCCCTGCTCCCCCCAGGGCGTTCCGTGCCTGGGAGGGTTGGGGGGAATGGGGCCCTCCTATCAGGGCCCTCGGCACCTGGGAGTGGCCCCTTCCCTGAGGGTGTTGACCGCGGAGAGACGTCCAGGCCGCCGGAGGTCTCCATCATCCGCCTGCCCCTATCAGGGCCCTCGGCACCTGGGGGCAGGCTGGTGCTGTGGGGGTCCCTCTCAGGGCCCTCGGCACCTGGGGACTGCCCCTGCACCGGCTGGTGAACATCCCGAGGTTCCTCATCAGTGCCCGAGGATGGGGCTCGGAGTAGATGAGGATGGTCCGCCGCTGTCCTGAGCCAGTGGATGGCATGGAGGCAGTCTCCAACCATCGGTGCGGTGGTCTTCTCCTCCGTGTGAGCCTGGATGTGTGCGTTTGCTCCCCCTTTTGAGCCATCATAGATCGTCCTGATCTTGTCCGACTCATCAATCCCTGCAAGGGGGCCCGGGCAAAGTTCCTCCGGTTTGCAGCGGCACCTCTCTGCCGCCTCGGAGCGAGTGAAGGGCCCGTCCACCATGTCCAAGGCTCGTTCCTCGTAAAAGGTTGATTCGATTTCCTTGGCAAAGAGTTCAGCCGTTGGGTAGTTATCATGAGCCACTGGCGGGGGGGGATCTTCCCCCAGCCAGGCTTCTCCCTTAAGCTCCTCCTTAGTGGGCCAAACTCCCGGGGAGGTCAAGGTAGGGTCCGAGACTCCCAAGGGGACCCCCTCTTTCAGTGTTAGGGGGAACTCCCAATCAGGGTCACCTGAAAGGGATGCCAAGTGCGACACTAAGTCCAGGAGGAAGGGTTGTCCTGGGCATCGTTCATGGAGGTGCCTCGGTCCTAGGATAGCCCGCAGCTCCTCGAGGTCGGCTTCCTGGAAGGGGTGTGTGGTGGCACCTGATGCCAGGGACATTCGGACCTTGTCAATCCAGGGCCGGGTAAGGGTCATGATCAGGGCGCCCAAAGTAGCCAATGGGGAAATTCTCCGAAAAGGGGGGTTGAGCCTCCCTGGGGAAGGTTTTCCCCCCCCATCCCTCAGGGGGCGTGAGCGGAAACCCAATTGGACAATCGCCACCCGGTCAGTGAGGTGTGGGACCCTGAAAGCGGGCAGGCATTCGGGGCGGTCCAGGACCTGGTCCCCCTGTCCCTCCTTCCCCAGTTGTTCCGCATCTCCGGCCATCGGGGGCATGGGAGATGGGAAGTCTGGGTTCATTGTTCCACGAGGGCTTACGGTGTCTGCCTCAGGGTGGAACTGCCCGTGCAGGCGGGGCTTCGGGGCGTTCTTGCCTCCGGGCTTTGAGCCCTGGTGTGATGAGGAGGGACCGCCTCCTTGACTGGGCCCCCGTTTTCCCCGGGGGGAATGGCCTTCCGGGGGGTCCGACCCCCGCCCCTTAGGTGGTTCCTTGGGGTTTCCCGGAAATTGTGAGGGGATCCGGATGTGCCCCGGCGCTGCGAGTGACACAGCGATGGCTTTGGCCAGGCCTGCCATCATATCCCAAGGGTATCTGCTAAGAGTCGAGGACTCGTTGGTGCCCACATGTGACTGATGCGTGCACCGCATTTGATCCCAGTCCTGGATCGGGAGATCCGTGGCCAGCGTAGTGGCCTTCTTGACCAGCTGGCCCAGGCGGCACTGGTCGAAGGAGATTGCTGTCAAGGAGTTCTCCTCCATCCAAAGCTGCCCCTCCTCTGTGATCCAGAAGGATGAGCATTCCTTGGCTTTGGGCAGCGAGCTGCTCACCACTGGGTCCTCCGGGTGTTCCAGGAAGGACCTGGGCCCTGGCAGAGAAACCGCCGCTCGTGAGGCCCTTGCCAGGCTGGTGATGTACATCTGTCTCAGAATGAGGATGCTGTCATCATCAAGTTGAGTCTGGGCGGCCTGGTCCAGGTGTGGAAGGCCCCAAAGTGTCTCTGGAGTGCGCCCTCGCACCGGGGTGGGAGCCCCCGGTTTTGGTATGTGGCGCAGGATGGACCATGTCCTGCAGTTGGGTCCTCCTCCAATGAAGACCACTCGGCCCTGCTTTGCTGCCGTGCAAAGAGCTCCATACAGCTCGGGTTGGAGCATATCGTGGTCCCCTTTTGGTCCAGACCGTAGGATGTCTACCGCCACCACCATGCTGGAAAGGTGTGGGTAGTTGGCATGAAGACAGCTGTCCAAGGAAGTTGGGTCTTCCTTGCCTGCATAGAGCAGGACAATGATGGGCCCACTGGATGGAACTTTGGGCGATGTGCCCTGTGTCCATCTCAGCCGCTGTACCAGACGCTCAGGGATGTTCTCCATCCACGGGAAGATGTCCAATCCCGGTGACGGCTCCGTTGGACTTGTCAGGGGGGTAGCTGAAAGGCGTTGGCCCCCTTCATTCAGCCCCACCGAGCTCTTGTGGAAAACCACCGGGTCCTGCTTGATGATGTTGGGCGCCGGAAGTGGGATCGGCTGCTTCCTGGGAGTGTCCCTTGGCGTTGCGGTGTGCTGCCAGTCATCCGGCACTCGGGCCTTCTGGGTGCGGCCCCCCGTGTCAGGGCCCTCGGCACCTGCGGGGAACCGTCCCGTCCCCGCCATATCAGGGCCCTCGGCACCTGTGGCTCGGGACTGAGGCGCCGCCGTTGTGCCGGTTGTGTGGCTGTTCTGATCACGGCGAGGGCGTTGTGCACGCTGGTTCTGCCGTCCCCATCCTTGTTCCGCCGAGGATGGCCGCCACCTGGCCTGTCCCCCCCCTGTGTCAGGGCCCTCGGCACCTGCAGGAGGGGGCTTCTGTGCCTGCTTGGGGCGTTTGCGCCCCTTCTCGCCCCCCCGGGCCTTATCAGGGCCCTCGGCACCTGAGGCCTCCCGGGGGGTAGGGGTCAGCGCCCCTAGTCAACCCGGGCAGTCCTGCGGGAGGTGGTCCCCCAGGCAGATGCGGCCCATTGCCAGGATGAGGTTGCACTTGTGGGTGCGGCCGCAGTTGCCCGGGCAGCGCCCGCGCATCCAGTTGTTACAGAACTGGTTCCCTTTCGGGTCGGTGGCTGCCTGCTTGTTACCGCCCCGGGACGCCTGATTGTTCGGGTGGGGGGTCTTACCCTTCCCTTTGTTCCCAGGCTTGCCCTTGGACTTCCCCTTGCCCTTGGACTTGTTCTTGCCCTTCTGAGGTGGTGCGTAGTCCATGGATGTCCTGGTTGATGGGCGGCCCCTGGAAAAGGTCTTGATCTTCTCATAGACCTCACGTGTCCAGAACAATGTGTCCTGCCTGACCGACAGCATGGCCGCCTTGAGGGTGTTGCCCTCATGCATCTTCTCGTGAATCTTTCGCCATGCGTTGCGTTCGGCAATTGCCAGGACGTGGTCCTCTGGCGGGGGAAAACGGCCCCCGATGTCCTCACCATAGAACCACTCGTACCAGCTCTCCAAGTCCTCCCGGGTGATGTCGAACTGGCCGAACTGCGGGAACGAGAGGACGCACATGAGGAGGGTGTTGCGGAACACCGCGTGCATCCTCTCGAGCTGGTGGCGAGTTTTGGGCTCGCCCCGCTCTTCCACCTCATCCTCCCGGTCCCAGCCATCAACCGTGCTCTTCTTAGTGGTCTTCCATGGCCGTTCTCCTGGCTCCGGGAGTGCGCTTACCAGGTATTTCATGGGGATGAAACCGATCTCGCCTCCTGCGCAGAGCTTGAACTGGCGCTTCACCAGCTGGTCGCTTCCTTGAAGGGCCAGCTTGGGTTTGGTGAGCTTGGTCTTCTCCTCCCAAACCCTCTCCAGCTGTCCCCGTTCGCACGAGACCGTGAGATTCGGGGCGGTGTCCCCGGGCGTGTGTGGCCCGGGTCCCGCTGTTGCATGCGCCCCAACTCCCATGGATCGTTGAGCCGCGTGAACCACCTGGAACATGCGGGCCGCGATCAGCCGGGAGGTCACATCCGTGTAGTGGTGGTTGTTGGGGGCGAAGCCCAACTCCCCCGGCGCCGTCTCCCTTGCACGGTCGGGCGAGTCCCACCGGGTCGCGAGGTCCTCCATCGAGACAAAGCCCTCATCCGACAGTGTCGCTTGGATGAACCACGGGATGCCCTTGAGGACCATGAGGTTCCTGGCGGTCTTGTGGAGCTTAGCCACTGCGTCCGTGTACACTCCAGGAACTTCCTGTGGTGGTGCCACCAACTCATCTGGTGTCACCGCCATGGTGTGGGTGGGCGGGATTTCAAATCACAAGACAAAAGATCAAAAGGTCCACTTGAGCCAAAATGGTGGCCCAAGTGGATACTTATTAAGAGTCAAGACAAGCGACCACCTACGGTTAACGCTTTAGCCCAGACTCTTCAAAGCACCACATTGGTGCTACTGGTACCTTAATCGCGAAACGGTGCATCCTTTACGCCGCATAAGGATTAGTGCCAAAATGGGAGGATTGCCCAGCTCCACTGGGCAGCTCCCCTCAGCAGCTGATGGGAGTAGAATTGATGCCATCCCCAACGGACGGATCGCATCAGCTGCCAATACCAACGGACGAGCTGGTCGTTGGGGAGGTCCGCCCTCCACGTATGCCGTGTGGTCCCGCTGTCGCATTTCAGGGCCCTCGGCACCTGTGCGTCCAGCGGTCCGGCTGCGGTCCACCCGGTGCGGACCCCGTCAATCCGCCGTTTGGGATGTTCGAAGACATCTCAGGGCCCTCGGCACCTGTGTCCCCTGGTTCCCGCACTGGCCCCCTGGGATAGGGGTGAGAACATCTCAGGGCCCTCGGCACCTGTGTCTCCCCCCTCCAGGCCCCTTCGGGTGTCAGGGCCTTCTGGCACCTGCGCTCCCCGCTGGCCGCGGGGCTGGGCCGCTGGGGGGGTGCCGGGGAGGGCGTATCAGGGCCCTCGGCACCTGCGCCCTCTCCCCCTGCCTCCTTGCCTTGAGGCATGGGGGGAAGCGTGTCAGGGCCCTCGGCACCTGCGCTATCCACCCCTCACTCAATTTGCCTCCTTGTCCGACTGAGTGTCCACGCTCTCGTCGGTGTCCGAGGAGAGGGAGATGGAGGCCTCGGAGTCCTGTGCTGCGTAGGGCTCCACGGCCATCCACGTGTTCGGGAAGGTGAAATGCCGGAAACATCTGGTGCATCCCAGGTACACCTCCGGCTCAGCATGGAAGTCCTGCTCCGCCAGCTCCGAAATCTTGAGCGGTCCCGGCCTCCAGCCGCACCCCACTGTGACTCCATCTGTGTCCAGTAGGTGCATGCTGTAAGCTTTGGTGGGACCCTTTCGGGCCGTGGTGGCTACCACCGTCAGTGGACCCCGAGGCGGGGGCACCTCATCCGCAGCCATCTTGGTGATGGCCGGCTTGTTGGCGGGGATCACATCCCAGCTGGCATTCGAGGGCGGTGTGTCCGGGACTTCCTTGAACAAGGCCTTCGGTGAGGCCGGGCACTCCACCTTGTCCTCCCAGTCCTCATGTCCGAGGTCGACTCGGACCGCCCTTCCTGCCTCGAGTTGCATGGACGGGAGCTTCTGGAGGACCTGGTCCCAGATGGAGCACACCACGTGTCGCTTCTCCCGGGTGTAGACATCCGCCGTGGACTCCTTGAACCAGTTTCCCAGGTACTGGCGCTGGTCCCTCGGTATGTGCGCCTGGAATGCCAAATCCGGCATGAAGACCCGGAAGGAGTACCATGAGAGTTCAGCCACGTCCTTGACTGGCGCGCCCTGCTTCCCCAAGGCGTCTTTGAGCCACCTCAGGGACCTGTCTGGGGTTCCTGGGCGGGGGATGAAGCCCGTCCTGTCCTTGATCGTGGGGATCAGGTAGTCCATCTCGCGGAACTCCTCCGAGGCCCTGAATCTCTTCTGGCCCCCGAGAAGGAGAACAATGGGGCGATGAGCGGGACCGGGTTCCGTTTGATGGCCACTGCCGACGTGGTCTTCGTTTGCCAGGCCAGCAGCTCCAGGGTGTTGCTCGTGGACTTGACCGTCTGCGGCGAGGTGTGCTGCACGTCGTTGAAGCGCGCACTGCAGGCCAGGTTGAACCTGGCCATCGCCATGATGTACCTGTCCACTGCTTTGGTCAGCTCCGGGACCCGGTTCTCCGGCGGGGCCCCTTCTGCCCCTTGTTCCAGGGCCCAAACAATTGCCCGGGTCGGAACCACCGCCTTGCGCTGTGGCTTGACCTGGGTGTCCACCAGCGTCTCCTGGATGGCTTTCCGCTTCTCCAGGAGTTGTTTGTGTTCGTCAACGTTGAGCATGCCGAGTTTAATGGAGAGCCACTTTAAAGTGCCCCACCACTTCTGGAGCTTCGCCGGGGTGACCTCCAACGTGACCGCCTGGTTCATGAGGTGCCGGACGTCGCCGGCCGTCCAGGGGAGGTTCTGGAAGCCGATCTTGCGCATGCCCTCATAGGCCAAGCAGTGTGCCCGGATGGTACGGAACCGGGCATCACCAAAGAGGTGGCCAAACTCCTCCAGCTCCCTGGCCCCCATCACCTGGTGCATGTAGGGGATCTGGTGCCGGAAGGGGATGAAGTATCCCAGGAGGCGTTCCAACCACCTGGCCCTCTTGGCGTCTGCCCGGGCATCCAGGCGGGCCTCCTCCAAGCGGGCTGCAGCCGAGGGGAACCTGGGCATCGGCAGCTCCTTCTCGTCCTTTGTCAGGAGCTCCTCCATGGGCACGTCCTCCTCCGGCGGGTTCAGGAGCTCCAGGAACGCCCCTGGGGGGCGTGTCAGGGCCTTCGGCACCTGCGCCACCCCAGGGGCTGCATCTTCCATCGGCTCATCCTCTGCCTTGCGCTTGGCCGGGATAAGGGGGGCCTGCTCCAGCTCATCTGCGCTGGAGAAGAAACGCTCGTCAGGTGCCTGAGGGACCTCAGCAGCCAAAACGGTCCATCCTTCTTCCTCCCTCTTCACGAGGCTCGCCAGGTACTTTGCCATGGAGGCCTTTGCCTTAGCCTTGGCCTCTGCTACCGCGGCACCAGCGTAGGCGGGGGCGTACATGGCTTTGAGAGTAGGGGAAAGAAAGATTTCAAATCACAAGACAAAAGATCAAAAGGTCCACTTGAGCCAAAATGGTGGCCCAAGTGGATACTTATTAAGAGTCAAGACAAGCGACCACCTACGGTTAACGCTTTAGCCCATGACCACCCCTGGCAGCCAAGCCAACATGACAGGCTAAGAGGTCACCGAGGTATAATCCATGTCCAATGCGAGGGGGGGGGGGGTGTGAAAGGGTGAAATGACCACCTTTGGAATGCCCTGCACCATGGGTTCAAAAGGCGAAGCTTGTGTGCTTATGGCCAGTACTGCACAAAACCACTTGCTTGTGGAGTTGGAGGGACATTACATATTTATTCCGCCCACCAATGTGCATGCAATGGGGGTCTTGGCTTGATGCATTCGCTTGGCATGCTTCGTTCTGTGCTGCAGAACATCATGACAACTGTTCATCCAGTTGCTGAGCTCCTGAATAAATTGCTGCCTTGTAAAGAAGCAAAGCGGGGAGACTGTCCCAGCATGACATGCGTCAGAAGCATAGGAATGCCAAGGCATTTCAGATCCTTTAATCCAGATGAGACATGTCGGAAGAAAACAAAAAAACACTAAAGCACCGCAAACAAACATGGCCCACAGTAATGCACAGCATCAACGTAGACATACAGCAACCTCCCATGTTTGACCCGATCCTTGCATCACCGCGCAAGGTTTGTGCGAAGTGTATGTTGCACGTATTGCTCGTTGCTCAGCGACCTCCCGCCCGAGCAAGATCCGGGCGCCCGGTCTGAGGGGCTGGGGAGGCAGACCGCACTCCGGAGGGCATCCGCGCAACCCTGGCAGCGCGAGCGGAGAACGCGAGATTCCTTCGAGAATGGCCGTAGGATTCATTGTTTATTGCAGTCGATTGTGTTTTTTTTGAACTGCAGTTGAGCGAAAATAGATGGCACAGTTCACCCATGATGGTTTAGTAATCTCCTTTATTCCCCTGCAAGGGAGCTGTGCCCCATTACTTCGCTTTGGTGTAGATGTAAAAGAAGAGGCGCAATCAAAAACCCAGGCATACCTCAACAGGTCAGCAGGCAAAGTGCTTTGTGCTGCTGGTGGCCTTATGCTTGCCACCTTCCTGCAGAATTCTTTGGGGAGAGCACCTTTTTCAAGTCTTCTATTGGGGCGCCACAAGGTGCAAAGGAAATGAGCTTCCCCAGCAGCATGTCCGACAAGTTGCGGCTCTCATTTCTCAAGCAAGGCAAAGGTCTAGCGGGGCCTGAGTTAAAGCTATCTAAGTCATGCAATCGGTGTGCATAGCGACTATCGGTGCGTGTGGGACAATTTGACTTAAATGTTGGGCCCTGCCAGCGGCCCTGCTCTTGAATTACCGCAACTGAACTCCGAGTTCGGTGCACATGCACTTTCCTGGTGATAATGTACCTTGCTGAATCTGGTGAAATGGTAGATCCCATGTTGGGTGTGAATGTGAACTGGGGACCCTTTGTTGGACATCATTTGCATGGGAAACTTGTCAACCATTTTTTGAGAGGGGTTCATAGTAAATTGATTGCCATATTTCGACAGCCGAAGAAAAAGTCATGAGGAACCAACGTGAGCGGTGATCAAAATCAATAGGCCAAATTGCGATGATATCATTTCGTGATTCCGCGTGCTTCCGCGCTGCGGGTGTTTGCTTCCGCGCTCTCATTTCCCTTCCGCGCCTTCCGCGGCTTGCGTCTCTTTCTTGCCAAGCCAACACAACTAGATATTGAGCTTGTTTTCCACCACCCGTTTCTTTCGTGCCAACAGGATCACTGCAGCGTCTTTACGAGCAGTGACGGCTGCAGCAAATGGTTTATGGGTCCCAAACTCAAAACAACAACCCCTGAAACGCGAATCCCAATGGATTTGCAACGCAAACGTGAAGCCTCACGACACACCGCGGCTACGATTCCCGTACAGGGCCAACGGAAACAACACATCGCACGCAAGTCATCCAAATCACGGAACCCTTGCGCGGTCTTTCCGCGCCCTTCCTCCAGTCTTCCGCGAATTCAGCCCAACATCAATCCCTGCGGAAATTTCTGCCGCAACGCATTGCGGCGGAAATTCCCGCTGCATTGCAGAAAATCAGCCGCAAACAAAAAAAAACCGCAACCAAAACAAAAACGCCGCAACACCGTTTGCTTTCCGGGAATTTCCACCACATTCCCGCCGATTTCCGCCGATTTCCGCCGCAAATCGGGGGGTAGAAAAAACTGAAAACAAGTTCTGCCGCAATTCTCAAAAAACGCCGCAAATCAGGAAGAAATGCTGCAAATCCAAAAAAGGCGCCTTTTTTGATTTAGGGCAGAAATTTCTGCCGCAACGAATCTCTAGGTCTCCACGCATTTAAGGCACGGGGTTCAAAAACGATTTGTTTAGCCCGAACAAATCGTTTTTTAAGCCCGGTCGTTTTTGGGCCCGGGAGCAAAACTGATTGCCCGAACAAATCGTTTTTTAGCCCGGGAGCAAAAACGATTTGTTGGGCCTGAACAAAAACATTAGGCCCGGGGTTCAAAAACGATTTGTTTGGCCCGAACAAATCGTTTTTTAGCCCCGAAAGCAAAAACGATTTGTTGGGCCAGAACAAACCGTTTTTCGCCCCGGGAGCAAAGACGATTTGCTGGGCCCGCCCGAACAAATCGTTTTTTAGGCCCGGGAGCAAAAACGATTTGTTGGGCCCGAACAAATTGCTTTTTGGCCCTGCTTCAATTGAAAAGTAAATGTCGCGCCCAGCCGCCCCTTCCAAGAGGCCTGTATGGTGACTCGGCAAAGCGCGCGGAGCCACCCCCCACGGAACATATGTGACGGCTAAACAGATTGTGAGGAGCGCAAATCGTTTTGTACGATTTGTTGGCCCGAGCAAATAACAATTGTTAGGCCCAAACAAATCGCTTGCTTGAGAGGGCCGGGGAGCAAAAGATTTCTACATGCTTTTGACGCTCCAAAAATGTTCCCCTTCCGCGCCCTTCCGCTGCGCGCAATTTTCGTTTTCAAGTCCGCTGGCCCTTCCGCAAGCTTCCGCGGCCTGCGGAAAACCTTCCGCGCGGATTGATTTCAGCGTTGCCTTACTTAAATTGCTTTGAGCAATTTTTAATCGCTGCTCACGTTTTGGTGTCCCCCTGCGGAGGATTTACACAAAGTTCCTAATAATTCCAACCGAACAACATTGCCCCACGAAGAAGGCAACTCAATCTAAATGGGCCTGTCACCCTTCGGCAAGACAACCCAATGGCAGCTCTCAAACACACCGTGCAACCCAACTTGTGGCTGGAACGCTGTGGCATGAAACCTCCTTTTGCCTAGGGGCATCAGCCCTAAGCGCGGCACAACAGGTTTAGACAACAAATACCCTCATTCCCCCCCCCCCGGTGGGCCGGCGGTGCATTCGACAACAGAAGGCTTGCTTTCTATCCAAACAAGTCAGATCAACCAGCATTGTGTGCCCAATCTGGATGGGTGGCTCGACCATTTCAGGAAGCAGCAAACAAGCAAGCAAGCAAATTGCCAGGCAATAAAACGTGAGCAAGCAGGAAGGCAGGCAGGCAGGCGGGCAGGCAGGCAGGCAGGCAGGCAGGCAGACAGCAAGCCAGCCAGCCAGCCAGCCAGACAGACAGACAGACAGACAAACAAAACACACCAACCCAACACAACACAACACAACACAACCCAACCCAACCTAACCCAACCCAACCCAACCCAACCCAACCCAACCCAACCCAACCTAACCCATCTAGCAAACAAGCATACAGGCACACAACTTTTAAAATTGAAACAAGACAGGCAACATCATCAGGGCAAGGTGCACTGGTCTACTAACTAGAGGTCCCAGGTTCGGCCTTCCCTGGCTTCAGGCCATCCGCTCAGTTGGCAGAAGTTGCCGGGCATGGGGGGCCGTACGCATTGCTAGGGATTAACTGGACACAAGACTGCTGAGTGGTGGAACTATTGAGGCATGCTATTAGCTGGCTAGTAAATGAATCATGAGCACTTGGAAGTTGAAAGCGACAAAACAAAGTTGCCACTTTGTGTGGTCAGCTCCTGGGACGCTGGAAGAACGCTTTCTTCAAAATAAGCTATATGGGCAATAGGGTATGAATTCGAATTGGTGGACATCATTTGCATGGGGATTCATGTTGAATAACGATTGGTCAGGGTGTTGCCTGTGAAAAGCCCAATATGCATGCGAACTTGATGTCAGGTACCTGGACAGTTCCATACAAGCCTAGCACCCCAAGAGCCCACGAAACGCCCTCTGAGCGCCGCGCTGACTCGCTTGGCCGGGCCTGAAAAAAAACTCTATTCCGGGCAAATCTGTGTGAATGCGCTTGTTTCCTAGCTTGCTTGCTGGCTGCCGGGCTGATTTGATCGCTTGCTTGCTTCATTCCTTGCTTGTTGGCTGCCGAGCTGCCTTGCTTGCTTCCTTGCGCCCTTGCCTGCTTGCGTGCGTGCTTGCTTCCTTAGCGTGCTTCGTTGCTTGCTTGCTTGTTTGCTTGCTTCCTTGCTTCCTTGCTTGCTTGCTTGTTTGCTTGCTTGCTGGCTGCCTGGCTTGCTTCCTTGCTTGCTGCCTGGGTTGCTGGCCTTCTTGCTTGCTTGCTGGCTTCCTTGATTGTTTGTTTGCTTCCTTGCCTGCCTCCTTGCTTTCTCGCCTGGTTGCTTGCCTGCTTCCTTGCTTGCTTGCTTGCTTACCCGGTGTATTGTTTGTTGTCTTCCAAAATACGGGGAGCACAATGTGTCCTTTTGGGTTTCCCGCTGCGTCAAAAGAGGGCCCAAAGTTTGCAACACAGAAGGATCAAACATGTAACCCGCGGATTAGGGTGATATGGATTATGGAACCCCACATGCTCCATTTTCAGGAACGCAAGCTCCTTCTGGGAACGGCCTCCATTTCACCAAAGGGTTCCATGTTACTCCGGGACAGTAGTGCCAAACCGGCTCCCGTCGCCTTTCCATGCGCTGGTCTAGTGGTCCATGTCACATGCCCCAGGCCCCGCGCTGTGGGTAGGCAGGGGCCGGGGCCACAAAGGACCTGAGCGACTGCCCCGTTTGCCACGCGGCAGGGCCTGTCGGTGCCTCTTGGCATTTCTTCGAACTTGTGTTTTGCACTCCAAACGGGTGGTGGTAATTGCAACATGGCAAACTACTGTCATCTTGGCCGTAGTGTTGTCATCATTTTTTTCCTCCCTGCTGGGTCACAGGCTGTCTGGTAAGGACAACAAGCTGCCTGTTACGATATACACCAATCCGTGTGACACCAAACAACACATGCTCTGACCACGCAGTGTGAACAAGTGAACAAGTCGAGCGAGACCCTAAATCAGTCATCATGATGTCAATCGCACGAGTGGCACAGTTGCGTGAAAAGTCAAGCAACATGCTTACAGCAACATTTTTTCAGCTCCCTGCCCGCCCCCGTTCTTCACAGCAAATATCTCAAGAGGTCGACGTCAACATGGACGCAGCTGTTTGGAATTTATCGGTCTCCCGAAAGGCCTCTGGGTCCATTCCTGTCCAACCAAATCAAACAAAACAAAGCCAAACCCGAGAAGCTGAAAGGGAGCGAGAATTGAACCGAACCAAACATTGGGCGGGGGGGAACCCGAGAAACTGAAAGGGAGCGAATTGAACCGAACCAAACATTGGGGGGGTTGTCAAACATATGGCGACTTGTTGGACCTCGGTGCCGCCTTGCGCAGGACTCCAACTCTCAGATTCGGCTCTTCGGCCCCGACGGGCCCAAGCGAGGCGCAGGCGCTGGCGGGGAGAGAGCGCCGTGCCTCGCTCCGCTAGGGGATTTGTTCATATGAATCCTCGGACGGGTCCGAAAGGTAACATATATGCAAAAGGATTATGCTCACTGTTTCCATACGTTCAACAAGTTAGATTTGACAGCCAATGTAACTGAAAAGCACGTGGTTTCCATCTCGTGTCGCGAGCTACCTCTGCACTAGTGCCCTAGAAGCTCTGGCAAAAGAAACTCGCGAACAAAGTGCTGCTCGTGATGGCAATTGCGCAGTACCCACTGCTCTGTGACTGTTCGAGCACTCCAGCAACTCCAAGCCAGACATGGCAAGCGAAACCCCATGCAGTCTCTGTGCTGGCTATAACTGAGCGCTGGACGCGCCGTGCATGACACACGGCCTCCAGCTGAGGTCTAAGCTCTTGCTTCTAGAACTCGATGACAACCAAAAAAACCTTTTGGGGGTTCTCCTGACAACCCACAACGTATCATGCTGCTGCATGCTATGAACCCATCATCAGCCAGGTCGATTAGTTTAAGTTGCATCGTCACAAGCGGCGCCAACTTTCTATTGAGAGGCCACCCAGGCACCCAAGCACAAGACTGCTGTGTCTTCCTGCCATGCTCAACTCATCGTCTACACGTCACAACAAGCCACTCAGTCAAACTCCTCCACACGTTCATTTTCCGGTGGAAACGAGGTGTCAATCACGACTGTGTCTGACAGATGTGGTGCATCTTTGGCATCCACTCAGGTCCACTGAGGTGCGGACAATCCTACAGCTAACTGGTGGTCGATGGCCGCGTCTCCAGCTGCCGCGACATCAGCCATTGCTGATGTGTAGCCATGCCAATGTTGTTGCGCCTTCGCGCTGGTTGGCTTCAAGCTCTGATGTGTGAATCCGAACTCATGCAACGCAGCAAGTCGATGGTAAACTCTTTTTGGATGTTGTACTCTGCCAAACTTCGGGCATCCGCCAGCTGATGGCCGGAAAACGACAGCCTTTGCTGCTCCAACGGGATGCCCGCTTTGTCGAACACTTTGGATTTCACATCTACCATCGTGTCACTAGACTTCGCATCCAAAGTGATAGACCTTCCACTGACTTTCACACAGATCTGCATGCCTCCCTTCAATTTGGGCACCACATGAATTGTGCCCGATTTCGCCAGGTTGTACTCATTCACCATGCGTTCATTCTCCAGCTCCTTGCCGCAAAAGATCAAGGTTTGTTCATGTGCTGGTAGGCCCTCCTTTGTTTCCAGCTGCTTCTTGACACTTTCGATGGTGTCCGTCATCTTCACCTCGAGGACCACACTCTTGCCAGTCAAAGTCTTCACAGCAATCTCCATGGCTCAAGAATGAAATTTGACTGGAAATATCTGCGGAGGTCCAAGGGAGCTCCAAAAGAGCCTGAAAAAACATCCAACAAATCCACCCAAAACAAGTCTCCAAAAGAAACCCCATCGAGACAGTCTGCTGCTCTGCATTTGGGAGCTCAACCATTGGAGCCTGCCCTTGCGCAAACGTTCTTATTTAATAACAACTCTAGCTCGTCAACCAGCCCATTCACCTGCGAGGAATCCCTCCAGGACTGGAAACACCATGGAACTTGTCAACTCTGCGGTGCCAGCATCTGCTGCATGGCGATGCCCGCAGAGCAGGTCGCGTTGGAGCACAATTTCCTCATGCTTGCCAAGAAACAACAAATCACAGTGCTCATGACCGGTTTTGCACCACCCTGGCACGGCAAGTTCATTTTAGCATAACAAACAATTCAACTACTCGGCTCGCGAATCCTGAAGTTACGGAAACACCCGCGTTGACAGTCTGGCATTTAGACACGAGGTGGTTTATGACATTCAGCAATAAGGTTCAAAATGACATACCCATGACATACCCCCAACATGCAAGTCGGTCAGCCGGATCTCTAGACTCTAGCCTCTCCAGCCCCTGAAGGGAGCCCTTCTTGAGATCGGGATCGTCTCAAACCACATCCAACACACTGAGCTAGCACTGACACATCAATACCAAAGGTGTCAATACCAACGCCAAAAATTGTTTTTGCCGTCTAATCTGATTCATCAATGTTAACTTCGGATTCATCCGGAGGGCTTCGTCAGAGGAAGCCCCAGAAAAGGCAACTTGCTCACTAAAACGGGAGCCACTCGTGACTTGTACAGTCCTCCGGGCTAAGGCCCATGACTAACCCCCTCCAAAAAGCCGCTGGGGCCCCAAACGCCGGAGGCGCATGAGCGCCACCGCCAGCTCCTGGCAAGCGGGAAAGCGGAACGTGTAAGGAACTCATTTCTACCTTGTACTAGGTTCTGGTGACATAGGCAACAATGAATCTTAAATGAAAAGTCAAAATTTGTTTCGACTTTTTGGCGTGCCTGCTTCTTGATTTTTGGAGCTCATAGAATGCTTGCGTTTACGCAAACCGTGGAAGATATGAGCAGACCAGACAAATGTAAATGTGTCTTGCGGTTTGGCTGGTTCCGTTTTTGGGCTGTTCAAACGTCAAATCAAGAGGACATCTCGCATTCTGATGCATTTTGGGGAATCCACCATCTAAAGAGCCAGAAACCCACATCTGGAGCTGGTGGTTCAACAATCAAATTCAACACAATTGAAAATATGCATATGGAACACGTGCCAGATGGAAACGCCATGCGGAAGCTGTGATCACGTGATGGACGGTCTAAAAGTGGAAGGTGCAAGAAGGCAATGCCACTGTCTGAAAAGTAATCAAAAGTTGTTCCTTGAACTTGACAATCAAGTTCACGAGTTTCAGCTATCCAGTGCTTCATTGAATGGGATGCGTCAAACATTTGAAAGCGTCCCGGGTTGCACACATTCCATGGCTTACTGTCTAAACACGAGCAAACAACACTTTGAAGCACAAACTCGAGAAACTGCAAGGACAAACCGGCACTGTGACCCAACTCAGACGCGGCCATCCTGCATAAATATCACAGGCCTAGTTTCATGTTCTTCCACTCAACAGCAAATACCAGACAATGGTCACAATGGAAAGATCACAAAAGCCTGACAAACAATGGCTTATATCGGAGCTGCAACGACTGTTGCAAGAAGACTTTCACTGCATCTTTTTCTCAGCACGCGTGGCTTGAGACTGTCCGTTGCGCCTGTGTTTGTTGTACCACGTAGATGCTGGGCATGCCGGAGCCACAAGCTATTTAAGAGTGTGTAAGCAAAAGCTTGAGAATCAAACGAAGGCTCAATTCGACAGCTGCCAACTAATAAAGATGGACACATGTAGGTAGCGTAACTAGTGTGGCAGCCTTGCACAAACCACAACATACTGTATATACATATATATATATATATACATGTAGTATCCTGCACGTGCTCCCGAGATTGCAGTGACAACCATACCCGAATGCACCTGGTGTATCTTGCCTGAGTTGGGGGGATCCTTATCAACAACTTAAGCTGTTGAACATGGTGGACACGGTGGTCATTTCCCCTGACCGACGGCAACGCTCGTGCATCTTGTCAGCTGCAAGGGGGAGATCGCCGCTGCGAGCGTGCCAACCCCAAGACTCCGGCAGTTGATAAATAGGTCAGCCTTTCAGAAAGGACATTCCGACAACACAACTGATGGACCAGTATAGCAAAGACATCAGATCCTGGTGCATGGCCCGGAAAGCTTGCCTCCTCGCATGCGCGAGTAGATGGGCTGGGCAATAAGCCTGAGATCTGTGCGCACTGAACGACATGCTGCTCGAGGAAACATGGCAACAAAGGGCCTTTTGCTGCCAACGGCTCGTGCCGTTGGCTTGTGTCAACTACAATCCACCAACCTCAATTGACATAAGCATGTTTTCCAGATCCTCTGATCATTTCAAGCACTTGCGGTGAGCTTAATTGAGCTCCACAGCTTTAGCAATGCTGCAAAGACACATCATCCACCTATTCAAAAGCACTCAAGTTAGACTCTTCGTCTGCTGGATTACTCCACCGCGCGTCACTGCCCCAGCTCTGGCTGACATGTCGGTTTCCGCTAAATTCACCATGCCCTGCTACACTGTTGAATCTGGTGCGTGGCTCTTTGCGCAAAGCACAGCTGACAATGACCGCGTAAGCCAGAACACAAACATACAGCGACACAGCGTGTGATACCATGTGCCATGCAAACATTGGACTGCCTATTCCATCCGCATGATCCGTCCCCAAGTGTTTGCTCCACCGAATTCTACAAGTGCAAGGGCAGGGCTGAAACTGCTACTCCGTGCGGCAACATGAGACCAAGGGAAAAGCAACAAGTTGCGTTTACGTTCTCGTGAACCGACAAAAACATCCGTAGTGGTTTGAAACTCAGGAAACAAACCCAACATGCAAAGCGACAGTTCAATTGTTGAATTGAGCAGTGTTCTAAACCCAGTTGTGGCCGAAAAGCAACATCAAATCCCTTCCGCGAAGGCTTCCGCAGAGCCTCCGCGGCATGAAAGGTTCCTTCCGCGTGAGGTTTTGAATAGGGACCGCTGATTGAGAAATGAGATTGAAGTTTGTCTTCGCTTCCACGCGTGCATAAATCAACAATTTGAAAACACAATTTCCTCCCGAATACTACTTTCAATTGCAGGGGTTTTAGAATGCCGCTCCATTGTCCTGCAACAAAACCCGTGATCACCGGTGGCATACGCAACTCAAAATCGCAGTCATAAACACGACATGATGAGCTTGACACTCCCAACAGCTACGAGCTACTATTCTCATAAATTGCCTCTCATAGCCTTGTCGGGGTAATCATGGATCATGGAGCAAAGTATCAACCCCAAAAGGACACCACGCACACTGCCCTGCCGGAAAAGATCAGCAAGAGCCTCTGCAATATGAATCCCAAAACAGAAGCCGGGGACACACATGGTTGTCAACTGCAAAAACCAAGCAACCATGTGCGATCTTCAGCTGGGTCGCTTCGGCACAAGCCCTTCACGTTGTGCAGCAGCCTGGGCTCGTGCAAGCCGAAGCTTGGCACCAACCTACTTCAGAAAGTTGAACTGTGTACCTGCCCTCATTCCTAGGGTCCAGCCAATGTTCTAGAGCAGTTGTGCAAAGAGTTCTGGAAGATCATGCTTTGGAGTATGGACTGCCGAAACTCCTACTGACTTTGTTCACCATTGCATTCCAGTTGTGAATGGGTGATGTTAGACTTTGGATACTTGCAGCTGAAAGCCATGTCGAGGGCACTGAAAGCTCGAGGACTTGCCAGCGCTCCGAATGAAATGAACGCTCTGTGCATTTTTTGAACTTGCGTGATCTTACTGATTGACAGGCTGGTTCGGAGTCGCTTGCAGATTAACCGAGGACCTTCAGGCGACTTGTCAGTGCTTGAAAAGTGCCACGAGTTCCTGATATCGATCAGGTTTGCGCCGCGGAAGGTCTGCCTTCCGCTGAACAGCTACCTGAGATCCCGGGAAGCTGACAAAAGACACGTGTTTTCTTCAAGGTCTCAGAATCGGATGGCCTGGGACAGAGACTCGGATGCATTTTGGAGCCAAAGGCATTGATCAAGATCCGGGCCTTGGACCTGCAGTGGTCTCCAGAAAGCCCACTGTACGGATGCGGATGTCAAACACAGCCAGGGGGGGATCCATCAACCGGACAAGACGATTCTATTTCAGCAGAGCACACCCCACATGTATCACATAGTATGCAATAGGTATAATAATAGTAACTATAACCATAACCATAACCATAACAATAACAATAACAATAACAATACCAATACCAATACCAATAATAATAATAATAATAATAATAATAATAATAATAATAATAATAATAATAATAATAATAATAATAATAATAATAATAATAATAATAATATATACATATCATGTATTCTACCATGCGATGGTTCGTTCCCCCCTTCTCTAACAGTGCACGTTGCTCGTTCGAACCTAAGGGGAAGCTCTCGCAACCTGCCACATCCCGTGCGGCCCAGCCACTGAAAGAGAAGTCCTCAGTGGACGGGCAGCTTTGTGGATCGGTTTCCGGGCGGGTCAAATGTGGTGCGGATTTGGGGAGCCTAAGGACCTCAAACCCTCTTGTATCAGCAGTGAAACCCATGGACCTTGGGGTAGACCACTCTTCTCAGACCTCCAGTGCGGGAAAAAGTAATTGGACAACCAACGGTCCCCCATTTCTTTGCGGGTGCCGGAAAAAAGACAAGTTATAAGAAACAACTATGTGCCATGTTTGCTGCATGTTTGCGTTGGGTTTCGCATGGTTAAACTACAGTTTCAGGCAATTAGTGAAGTCAAAAGCGATTGGCGATGTTGGATCCACCGTGAGGCAGTTGAAGGCATCAAATTGATTCGTGGCCACGCACCCTGTGTTTCAACACAACGTGACTTCTTGAGAAATGATGTTTGTTTCTTTGGTACGTCTGCACCATAGTCGGACCTGGACTGGACAATTCCCATGGTGGTACTCAGAACAAAAAGATCCGAAGAGTCGGTCCCTCCTTGAGCCGCCAGTGCCATGGAAAGCAATCCTCAGGCACTCTTGATCACTCTTGGCTCTTGGTCAGGTCATGCTAAATCTTCATACTGAACATAGCAGCAAGGACGCAATCCGATGCAGAATGCAACCATTCTGGCAACAAACCGGACTCGACACGAATGTGTCTCAGCTTAAACCTTTTTTCGGCATCCAGGAATGGGTCGCCGACCCGACCCTAGGACACCACCAAGCTGATTGATGACGCAACTGCTGCCGAGCCGCGCCGTCAACGGCTCCCTGAGGCCAAGAAAAAAACAGCCTGTTTGGAAAACACATCTAGCACATCTTACTCTTCTGCATTTCATTCCATTCAATCCCCAAAAAACATGTTCCGTTTGCCACTGCTCTCTTCCTCTGCTGTTGGTCGTTCACAATGGGAGGGAATCCTTATCCGAATCCAAAATCCCCAGTGACACGCCACTACAATGCAATACGGGGAACCACCGTCATCTGGCATAAGGATTAATGATTGAGTTTGAAAGTTCCTCTCCTGCTGATTAATAAGACACCCCGAAAACTCATCATTTTCACAGGACCTCTTTTCAAAACTCCCCCCACATGGAGGCAACCCCAAGAAATGGCGGGGTACCCGTCAACCGAACATACACCCACATATGTTGTTCGATCTCATGACTTGTTGGACGGTTCACGAAGACATGCGCTCACCATTTGCTTTTGCTGGCAAATTTGCCGCCCTCGTTGATTTAGATTGGTTAGTCGTGTAGTGGTCAATCTCTGCAGCCATGTCACACCTCTGCTCCATTTTTATCTAGCCAGAAGAAGCCTAGGACACCGTCTTTGTCCATAAGATGCCAAGCAAAGGGGACCCGTTAGGGACCCACGTCAAGTTGCCCAACTGCAAAATCTTCACCAGTCCCACTTCTCACAGCATCTTACAGTACCTCATTCCCAGAATGTGAGGGATTGCTTACACAACGCAATCAATCAAGGCAATCAAAGGCCAATGTAATAACATAACCTTCATAATACCTTGCAAGAACTGACCTAACTGAGTCCTGACGGGGGTCTGAAAAGTAAAATGCAGAATCATGCATCCCTTTTAAGTTTCCCGTGCAGGGTATGGGTATGGCTCAAAATTAAAGAGCTAGGGTTACACAGGTTTTAGGCCTTCCTTTTACCAAGGTGCCATTTTGGGGCCACTTTTTTGAGCCACAGCCATATTGCGTGCTAGTTTCCCTTGGTTCTATCCTCCTCCCGTGGCAGGTAAAACACCCTCGCGCGGCCTCGGTGCGCTGGCAGGAGCCTGCCGCAACCAAAAAACATCAGGGCGATTTGGTTGGCGAGGCACACGGCCTCAGAATTGTTTTTTTTAGCTCTGAGCAACCTTTATTTAATGTTCATGTGTTTCTTGCTTTAATCCCCTGCACAAGCAAGCTTTGAGCAACCTGTCTTTCATTTCATAGCCACCTCAAAGAGCACTCGCACAAGACGGGGTTCTGAGCGGATTTCCAAAAGGAAGGATCTCTGGAAAGAAGGGGAAATTACCCGGGCAACATGGACGGCTTCCGACTTCCTGGACACAATTGACGGCGTCCCCTTCATGTCCCTTTAAGCTCAAAGAGGTAGCTAAAAAAACACACAACAACAATGTGGAGACAGGCGCAGTCTGGCTAAATCCGTGTAAGTCCGCCAAAATCCGCTGGTCAAGCTTGGTTTTTCTTGGCATTTTTTGGCGTGGTGTGTTTTATGTTCTCTGAGGCAATTGAAATAAATATCTTCTCATGTCTTTTCCAATGAGCATTTGTTCGTGGAAAAGCAAGCAACACAAAAGAGGAAAGGCAAAACGGGCAGCAAAGGACTGAGTTGTTGAGGACCCATCCAAAATCCACCGAAAGAAAGGTGGGTCCTCAATGGTCTGGACAAACTAATCAAATATCAATCTAGCGTGGTGGAATGCTGCATAACAAAAATCCCTGGCCGTCGTTGCACCTCAGCTCAGTCGCCACATTTGATCGTGACTGATTGTGTCTTTGCGTCTCAATCTTCTTTCTGAAGCAAAAACCGCTATTTCAGTGCAAACACGTGCGCCTATCATCTTACAAGTACCACGGCACGCCAAAGTGAAACAAAACGGCGTAAATATTTGATCTGCTTTCAACTTTGGAAGCCGGGCAATGGGAAAACAACCCAACAAGCTGATGTATGCAAAGGGTCAGGTATGTCTGACTGAGTCATGGCTCATGCAAGCTTAGCCAGTCTTGGATGCAATTGGCGCTCCCATGCTCGCTCTTATAAAACCCAAGACTTACCTACACACGCAACAAAATATGTTTGGGATACGACGTAGAAATTGGCATTTGACATGAAGAATAGGCGGTCGGGTAGTCATTGAACACCTTGTTCAACAGCTGACATCCATCTCTTTCTGTAAACAACAGGGAGTTTGCTGGAGGACGTGCATACTGATCCAACCAAAAAGACTGCCTTAAGTGCATCTCCCAACGTTGCAGTTCGGCAAACGCATTAGCATGCGAGCACTCATTGAAGGGAATCTGTCAAGTTTCAACTTCGAGTGCAACATGTTCATGTGAGTCCAGTAAAGCATCACATCAAGGCGCAGAACAAACATTGTAACTGGTTGGCATGCACATCCTCTACAGCCAGCAGGTTCAACTGCGCAATCGCAGGCCTGTTGGTTGGGCGTTTGTTTGGCTTCCCTTGCAAACAAAACTGAAACAAACACACATGCCATGCCCCACGTGAAACCCGGGTCCTTACACCCAAGAAAAAGCACCGAGTGCCTCCAGGATGCTGGATGAGGGCGGCTGACTGGCATGCGTGGCACTCTCAAGGTGAAGAGGAATCCTGTTCAGGTATCTAGAAGGGTTGTACCAACAGCCAAGTCTGAGGCGTGCCCTTTTCTCTATGTCTGATTTTCACCGGGACCCACCTTCTCAGTGCATGTTTTGGAGTGTCCAAGGGGGGCAGCCTGGGAACGGCATCTGAATGCATGCTATTAGTAGCTCTGTCCGAACTAGCTTGGAAGCTGAGTGCCACCGAGGTTGGGTCAAAGCACAATTACTGTGATTCTTCGGGACCTACAAGGCCACTAGCGAGTGAAGCATGCTGGAATCTCTAAACTTTGTTCGGGGGGAGCTTGCGTTGTACTGTACTGCCTGCAAGACGTATCAATACATGACACATGGAACAAGCTGAAGTATTCGCCAAACCCATATTTCACGGGAACATATGCAGTACTTCGAGCTGCGAGAGCATAAAGCTTGAAATGTGGCAGATCCGATTTCCTAGAAGCAATCAAGCAAGAACACATGAGCCATGGTTCGAGTCCTTGCCTGAGAAATGGTCATACTTCCTTGAACCGACACCCTCAACGTATCTGCCGCCTTGAACCCCCATTCGGGAGAATGAACAATGCCAATTGCTTCGCAAGTGAATCAACTCCAACATCAAATCAATATGGTAGACAAGCAAATCAATTCCGAATCCATCCCCCCGCATCTGTCTGCATATTAATGTCAAACGCCAGATCGTCCAAAGCCCGGCCTGGGCCGAACCTGGGGCACACGGGTCGGGCCCGGTGCTGGCACATAGGAGCCTAGCGCAGGGCTTCACGTGGCAACCGGCGTTTGCGTTTGGGAAGGTGCAAACCACCTCAGGGTCTGCCACTCACAAGGTCTTCAGGGGCTAAAGTTGTTTGGCACGTGCTGGCCATTTGTTTGGCTTCAAGTGACAAGTTTGGCAGGGCAGCAAGCTTTTCAGACAAACTTCACCAAGATCAACACCACAAACCAGCAAGCTCGGCGTACATGTCTCTATTTAAGGTCAACATCACATCAAGCAATCGTGCAGTATTCACTAGCCTCAACCTTGACATGAATCTTGAGATGCAAAAGACACCCGCCCTCACCTCGTAGGACCCATCGACTTGTTCAAACGAATACCTTCATTGCAGAGCGTTCAACATCGTTTTTATGTGTTGCATGCAACATTCACCACGAACGCAGAGGTGCTGCTCACCAGCATTTTACGTGGAAGTACAGTTGCTCAACCTCAGGCAACAAAAACGAGCATTTCGTGTCCCAAACGGCTTCCAGGAAACTTTCATAAGGTGCTATGACGTTGTTGAGGCGGAGGCCGCACATTCTAAAAAGAATAGGGCTTCATAATGCAGCGGTCCGTCTCGCCCTCAAGGCCGACATTTTGAGGGAAATTGAGAAGCGCTGAGGGGGCGTGGTATATATATATATATGTTATTTATTGCCCAGAACGAAAGTCTAAGATGCTCTTCTATGTGTTCGGGCTTGAAGCCGAAACACCAGGATCTTCGACACCAGCAGTTGGGGACCCGACAGGAACACAGTGCCACTGGCAAACCCCATGTTCTTGGACACCTATGGGCCAGCTGACGCATTTGCAATGAAGCAAGCAGCTCCACTCTTTGTAGGAAGCTTTCCCTTTCCAAATACTGTAAGAGTCAAACCAACAAAGCAATGTGCGTTTTTAGTATTGAGTATAGAGGCTTCGAACAGGGCGAATCGCCTGGATTGATCTATGGGGGCAGGGTCCGCGTCAAGCACTATAGCCGCTGTTTCAGGTAAACTGCAGAGGCTACAGTCGGCAGTCCAAAATGCGTTGCTTCGTGTGTGTGTGTGTGTCTGTCTGTCTGTCTCTGTCTGTCTCTGTCTGTCTCTGTCTGTCTCTGTCTGTCTCTGTCTGTCTCTGTCTGTCTCTGTCTGTCTCTGTCTGTCTCTGTCTGTCTCTGTCTGTCTCTGTCTGTCTCTGTCTGTCTCTGTCTGTCTGTCTGTGTGTGTGTGCATAACAGACTTGAATTATCGATGGATTGAGGATATCGATCATGAACCCTTTGATCCTCGCCTGATCTCCCGTGTTGCTCCTGCGGCCTAAGCAAGAGTCATTGGAAAGGGAACGCGCCGCCGGGGCCCAATGTAGGACGTCTCTACGCACCATGGTCAGTAGATCAATCAGCATTGAATCAGAAAGCAAAAATCGCGCTGTCCAAATGCGTCATTAGAAACGCCCGACACAAAAGGGGTGTATCCAAACTCATGCAAAGCAGAAGGGCGGATATCCGCCTTCTGCAGTGTTGATTGGGACAAGTGTCCTCCATCTTCCCAGGAATTGTTTGTGGCAGAGGTTCTAGGCCCCCAAAAAACAAACAAAAAAAACACGAACCAGGGGGTTCATTTGATCCAGGGTTTCCATGTGGTTCTTCCTCCCGAAGGACCGGCTCCTTTCTACAGCAGACAATCTATGTGGAGTTGGGACCCAAATTGAGCATTTCCTCGATAGTGGAGCATGTGTCAAAACTCGCCGGCGCTTGGCAGCCCATCGAAGCCAAGCTGCTCTGCTTTGCCCGGCTCGGTTCTGCGTATGAAACACGGCTATACTAGCTGAACCGAGGCCAGGGCTGCTCTCGAACCTCTGCAAAGCCGGAAGTTTGCTCAGAACCCCTGGACTTCTTTTCCAGGAAGCTTGGAAACCATTGTCGCAAGCCTCTTGCATTCATCCGGCTAGGCAGGATTGGGGCCAACCAAATCCTTGTTTCAACATGATTGAACAATATCCTTTTGGGTCCTCTGAAAAGGGGACCAGGGGGTGGATTTCTGTGAAACAAACATTTGCCCTGTGGCGAGGAAGCTGCAAGTTGAAGGAAGTCTGCAGGCAACACGAGAACGAAGCGTACCACAGCACCAACAATTTTTGCTCACCGGACAGCACGCCGATGGACCTGCATGTAAATCCAATGGAGTGCCAAAGCTGTGCTCCGAAACAACACCCCAAGGCGGAAGGTATCCAGCCTCCTCAGCCGGCTGCAAGAATGTCTCGAGCGGGGCCTGCTGAACAACTGAGTGCAAACCACGAGAACACCGCCAATGAAACCTGCATGAAAGATCCGATGCTGGATGCATGCAGCACAATGTTACTCGACCCCGCCCCAACTGAGAACTCGTGGTCATTGATTCAAGGCTTCGTCTGGAAGAACTGAAACCTGAAACCCCATCGCCTTTGCTCTTGCATTCATGCTAGTTGGGAGTCAACACTGACCTGAAAATGTACAGTACCCAGTTGTTCAGTGACACCAGTACACCTTTTTGGCAATCACCGTTTGTGGGGGAGCCACCAAATAGAAAGGCAAAAGAGTGCGACTGAAGAACTGAGAGTCAGCTACAGTTGGGTAAAAGTAGATGACCAAGTAGATGGCACAAATCCGGCATTCAGGTTTAGTCATCCTCTTTACTCTTTACATACCCTCAAAGATGAAATTGGGCCAGTCTCAAAATGGGGGAACCCATTTAATAGGAAAGCAAAGCAAAACACAACCAACCATGGGCGGGTCCCTAATTTAGAGAAACACCCAATTCTCGGCCCACATGTGTACACCGAAAAAAAAAAAAAAAAAAAAAAAACCTCACTCAGTCCCAAATTGAGTCTACTCTATTTTACATATGGATGACACCCCATATTTATAAACCACCTATGCTCAACCCGGACACCCTAGCACTCCTGCCTGCGCACCCGGCAACCCGTTTGCATGCGCTGGCGCATCAGGCTGTGGGGCCTGGGAAATCACGGACAACAGGAAATGCGCAAGGTCGGTTCTTGTCTTCGGCACCTTTTCGGAAAATTGTCTTTGGAGGAAAAGGGTGGTGTCCTGTTTTCTCAAGTTGGGCTTCCTTGTTGGGCATATGTTTAGCAAAACCACCAGAAATCCTCCCCCCCATTTTGGCAACGAGATTTGAGCGGCCAAGAAAGTTGGTT